ATTTCTAGCATAAGCGTAATTCGGCTAGCAGATTGTTGGAAAAAATGGTGAGTAAATAAAAAAAAAGAAACCTGTCTTTACTTCGTGAAGACAAAATGGCGCGGAAAAAAAAAAGTAGGAGGTTGCTGTAGCAAGGTTGGTTGCCAAATTTTCGCCAAAAATCACCTTGTTACCATAATCCAAAGATTAAAGTGTTAAAATTCATTTTTTTAAAATCTTTCTAGATTAAGAATTATGAATCCACCAAATACTGAAGCTCATGACAAGGAACAAGGAACTCATTACAAGGAACTGAATCCTGTTAAAGATCCTGAGAAGTCATTGAATGTCGACATTCCTGAGCTGCTGGAAGATCATTTAACAAATGTAAGTCATAAGACATATAAGATATAGTGAAAGGTTCTTTACCAGTTAATTTTTATTATATTAATTGCAAAATCAAATATTTTGAATACATTTGTGCTTTCTGGTTATCGTCAGCCCTTGAAAAGTATTCACTCATTATGCTGCCAAAGTAGGTAACCTATGTGTGCAGGCAAGCCTCTACATTATTCAGCGTCAGGTGTGCTCTCTGCAACTATGAAAATATTGCAACAACCAGTTTCTCGCTCTTCTGCTGCTGACGTTCGAGGGTGTAGGACGTTTTTCGGTCGGCTCTCTCCCTCGCCAATGCGAGGTGCCATTTTCCTGCTTATCTTTGCTGTTCCTTCGATGCTGTCTGCTATACATGAAATTCCTGTTTAGTGAGATTTTTACACGAAGATTCAAGAAAATAATTACTCCTGTTTCATGTATATCGTAGCAGAAAATAATTTTTGTTCAGCTTCTTCCTCTTTTCGAGAACTCTTCGCTCGCACGTGTTTGTGAGATCTGAAACTTCCTGATTTAAAGAAGAAAAAGTAGAAATACTATTATTAATCGAATATGCTTAAAGACTGCCACAAAATTCGATTGTTCCTTTTACACCAAGACTTTGTTTCGAGCTGATGAAGAAAGATTGACTTTACTTTGAGTGCAACGTTAATTCTGGTGATGTGCATCACTATGCTTGATGTTCAAATTTATTTGTCTGTCTGGTTGATAAAATTATTTATATTAATGCTTATTTCAATATCAAAGATGAGTATAAAATATAATTGATTTGGTAACATACAGTGTCATACTTGGGGTAAGTACTTTGATTTCATATGTCCTCTAGATCACACATTTTGATCTGCACATTAGTAAAGTTTATGGGTTATTGCACACACGCGATTTACAAAATAAGCAATTCATTTGATTTACATTTGTTAATCTTTTAATTCGAAAAACGCCAAGTGACTATTTTTGGTGCTCAAGTAATTCTACTTCATTTTTACATTTAGCACCGCAACACACCATATATTATAATACTATGATATCACTAAAATGTATTTATGTGAAATCCAGGTATGCATGCACAGCAGATGAGTGCTGATTTCCACTAAAAGCAGTGTTCCCACCTTTAAATTTGATGGAGGAATTTTAATCATCTTTAAATTAGATGGAGGGAGGAAAGAAATGTGTTTGTGTATATATAATACTATATACGAGGGTTGGAACTTTAATAGTGGCAACTATTTATTTACAAGGAATACAAAAGTGATTCATGTCACCATGTTTTACAGTCCTTCAATATAGTCGCGAGCATTGTGTACAACCCGTTTCCAACGATGTGGAAGTCGCAGAATACCTGTAGCAGCGCCTGTTTTGTTGAAAGTTTGAATGGACTGGTCTTCGTGGTTCCTTCATCTTAGGAATTAAGTCATAGTCACAAGGGCTTAGATCTGGGAAGTATGGTGGATGGTAAAGCACTTCCCAGCCCCATCGCTTGAACATATCAGTCACAGCTTGCGCTGCATGCGGCCGAGCATTGTCATGCAAAATGAGAGGAGCGTTCTGCAGAAAGTGTCGCCGTTTTTTTTCTCAAAGCTGGTCGGAGATTGTGCTTCAAAAATGAGCAGTAATACTGCACGGTGACGGTTTGTTGTGGGGGAACAGTATGCGTTAGGATGACACCATCACAGTCGTACACAAGAATCACCATAACTTTCACATTGCTGGGGTTCTGACGAAATTTCGAACGTCGTGGTGACCCGTGATGACTTCATTCGGTTGATTGGCGTTTCAGTTCTGCCCTGGTACGATCGGGCCCAAGTCTCATCCAGCGTAATGAATGGCGTAAAAAAAGCATCTCCTTCGCACTCATAGCGCTCCAGGTGGGTTCGGGCAGCATCGTATTGCAGGCCATTTCTGCATTTTTCGTCAATGTGGTGGAACCCATCATGAAGCAATTTTTCTCATGGACAGGCATTCCTTCAGATGTGCAGCACAGTCATATGCGCTAATCCTTTGTCCGGCCAGCTGACGAATCGTTTGGCGGTGATCACTGTCCATAGTGCGCAACAGCTTGCACGTCTGCAATCGCTGACACTCGGACGACCTGGCCGCAGCATGTCTGCACGTTTGGCGTCCTTCATTAAATGCTTTCACCCATCTTGCTACGGTTCTGTAAGGCAATGCAGATTCCCCGCAAGCCTCTTGAAGCTCTTGATGACACTGTCGTGCTGTACGACCTCTGGCACATTCAATTTTTATCCAGTATCGTTGTTCTTGTTTTGAAAACATCTTGACAACACTTACTTTAGACCGCGAGTTAATACAAGGATTCGTTCTTCGCGTCGCTCCGCATGCGCGTGACGTAGGCAAGACGAGTCTTTTTGTTGAGAGGTAAGGTAGGTATGTAGTCCACTAGTGGTATACGCGATATCCTTTGGTTTTGTTGCGTAGCGTTTTTTCAGCTGTGTTGCCACTATTAAAGTTCCAACCCTCGTATATATATAAACTTACTGTAATCTGTGCAAAATTTATTTCTTTAAATACCAAAAGAAGAGTCTTTATATTATTTAAAATATGTGTAATTGGAAGCATATGTACATGATAATAAAGGTGGGTTTATATGCCAAACCCTCGAGGGCTATCTGCCTAAAGGAAGGGATGCCCTTTTTGTAGGACTAGGGAAACTGCCTTGTATACATGTTACACGTGGGGAAAACCACGAAAACACCTAAGTAGCCAGCTAGTTCGCAGGATTTGAACTTTGGACTGAACTACCAGTGTTCAGCGATTTTACCGCTCAACCGCTGGTGGGCCGTAAAGGCGGGTGGACACATTTTATATATATTCATATACACAATGCAAATTAACTCTTTTTGGCAATTTTATGAACTTTGAAATTAATTATTTCAAGTTATAATACAGTAATTCTTGCAGCAATATTTAATTATAGCATTATATATTCTAAAAAATGAAATTTATGTAATGAATTGCATAATTATCCATGATAATTCTTAAGTGCAAAATGAAAATAATTTTCATGTTGAAACCATATGCATTTGCTGAAACTATTCAATATTTCCATCGCTGGTTGGAATAGTAATGTTTCCAAGTTGACTGTCGGCGAAAACAGTACCGAAAACATGTATTGCAAAATCATGTTTAATTAATGTACTGACTTCATTTGTTCTTGGCTATGTCTCGTTAGTGTCGGATGATTGTGGCAAATACAGTTCTTGTGCACTCAAAGCATTAAAAAAGATTTATTAACAGTTTGAAGGTGTAAATAAATTTATGATTAATATTAGTATTTTTGCAACATCATATAATTTCTTTGTTGTTTTAATGTCAGAATAAAGTCTATTAATAAAGAATATAATTTATTACCGTGAGCATATTTTACTCCATTTGAAGAATATGTATGAAATGCATCAAAGGATTCATGCAGGAAGATTAAAAAAAAAATAGATTGTTTGGCACTAATTTGAATTATAATTTTTAGAATATTTAATTGGTGAGAAGAGAAGACAGTTTAAAAGCTATGAAAAGCTTATTCATGGTTGTGATTTCCTTTATTCTTATCTTCTTTGTATTAAAATGACTTTTCTAATGCTATTTCATTTGATACTTAATTTTCTAGAAAACATCTTCAGTATTAACAGGGCTATTACTATATGAAATTCTTCAAATTGTAGGCAGAAAATTGTTTAGGTTTTTTTAAATGAGGAAATGTGATGTGCGCTAGATTGCAGAAATTCAACCAACTATTTCTTCAGTGATTAGCAGTCACTCGTGAGTTGTAATATGTCTTAAAATTAAAAATTTAGCTGCAATATTTTATTAGTAAAAATTGTGCTAAAATATCTGATGTCTGCCTATGTGTGGTGTACCTATTGCCGATAGTGGTTAATTAGAAAATAATTGTAAATAATCGTATTATAAGTTCATCTATTTCATTTAAAATTTGAACAATATTCTAAAATACCTGATGCAAAAATATGCACAGCTTCAATAGTACATTTCAGTTTGTTAAAAATACAAAAATTTGAAATTAAGTCAGTGAAGATGAAAAAATTGAAGTATGAAAACTACACTGTGGTTCGTTACATTTTTTTTTAATTGATAAAAATGTGTTACATTTTGTAGCTTATTTGATGTTAAATGATATTCCTGGTTTAACATTAAATTTTTGTTTTAACAGGATTTTCAGCTCTTTTAAAATATATTTTAAAATTTTAATACTTAATTTTTTTTTTTTTTCAGTTGGTTCGAGGAAGAGTGCCCCCGAATTTTAATTCAGCTGCTTTGCTGCCTCAAGGAAGTTCTTGTGTATATGATAAAAAGGTGAGAAGGATTTCATAACAAAAAAATCTGACATCTACCACATTACAGCTTAAAATGTGTATTAAACTATACATATTTTTAGCTGCACTTAATTTAAACTTATTTTCTCAAATTATTCCATCTTAAAAATTTAGGATGGTTATTCTACGCTACGAGAGTCGACAGCAAGTTGTGGGCCGCCAGATGTCGCTGCTAGTAAAAAACAGGTCTGCCCAACGTCCTATATTCTCTGAGTACGGAAGTTGTCAAAAGCGTGTGAAAAAGTGTTGCCGCGTCGTCAATCAGGGTTGTGCAGTTGACGTATTAAGTAGACAATGGCTTTGTATGTGTTTTCGCCGCTGATTTTTTTCATATTTAAACGAAGAATATGGTCGTAGATCTCTGAATCGGTGGCGAATTTATAGAAAATATGTTGATGCTTTTGCTCTGCCAAAATTTATAGTTATTTTAATTTGCGATGAACTGAGAAAGTATTTGGAGCCACATTCAGAAAACAAGAATGCAATTTCTACTGAAAGAAAGGTTATACTAGTCCTGAAATTATAGATATAAATTGTAATTGTATGCTTTAAAAATGTAGAAGATAATAAGTTTATCAAGCACATAAACCTTCTTCATTTAATACAAATATAGACATCCGATAAGCTTCTACTCGATTTATATATAGCAAGAATTACGTTTACTTTAAAATCTAACAGTTGAATACCTTACGGATAATACTGTGAACACAAAAAGGAATGTCGTTCGTTATTACGCGAAATTCACACTACTGTAAAATAAAAATTAAAAAAATTTATAAAACTATAAAATAGCTTTATGATATTTTTTTCAGTAGCTGTACTACTACTAGTGTGATACTTTTAAAAATAAGTTTTAGCCCAGAGGGCCTATTAATTTCGTTTTGCCATTTTGTGGCGTTTCACTTTTCAAATCGTTGCCACCAAGTATTATCGCACTCTATTATATTAAAGAAATTAAATAATGAGGAATCTGCAGAATGTATGAATGTTTCTCACACTGTGATAAAACAACGGTACCTAGAGCCATGAAATTCTGAATGACATAATCCTCCATCCTAATATAGGCATCTGGAGGCCCAAATTTGGAACTGGGAATTTGTTTTATTATCTATTTCATATTTAGAGCATTTATGAGTTTTTGATTAAGAAACCCAACGATTTCAAAGCGAGCAATGGCAACATTGTACGGGGGGGGGAAGAGGAAAAAAACATTTTTATCTCTAGCGCGCGAGACTATGTATCAGAAATTCTAAAGATATGCTTTTTTAAAGGATATGATATTGCTTTTGAATTGAATTTTATGGTTTAAGTGCGAAAAACATGATATTTAATAAATAAAGGTAACACACAAAAAGTTAAAAAATGGCCTTTTGGGAGTAATATAAAATCTGAAGGCTTTCAGATTTTTTTTTTTTGGTGTGTTTGTGTGTAATTTTATTATGTTTTAAAACTCTACTGCTCGGTGGCTGGTGGGCTTGTTAGCAGAATTATACTGCATAATTATTGCATTATGCTATAAAGTAACAATGCTATAAGACTGAGGGGTTTTGTTCATGGAATAGTACTTTTGTAACCTATTATAGTATTAAAAAATCATTGTTTCTTTGCAAACTTAAAAAAAAAAAAAAAAAAAAAAAAAAAAAAAAAAAATGCTGTTTATAGCATTGTCATTTTTATATTGTAAAAGAGATATTGATTATTATTAGTTTTCTATTTAAAATGTGTCGAAACGCTGGTTTGACAAGGACTTGAACTGCAGGAGACCTACACTGATTATTTTTACTTTAGTACTTCCATTGTGAAAATATTACTATCTTTTAATTATTTTCAAAGAACAAAATCTTTTGAGAAGGAAGAATATTTAAACCGAGCAGTTCTTATATACAAAATTAAAATAACAGCAATGTAATATTGAAAAAAAGGTATTAGTAATTGTGTGACAAAAATTGCAAAACGAATTAATCACACATACAGGATAGATTAGTTTAATTTTGGTTATATATTTTATATTGAAAAAATATTTTCTTTCATGTTAATTATAGAATAAATTATTTAAAGTAAAGCATTTTGATGCGTGTGTGATAGTTGAATGCAGCAGCAATCAGCCATAGTGAATGAATTTTATTTCTTTTCCTGAAAGAAATAATTTTCATAGAAAAAGAAAATAAAAAAAGGGAAGAAATATTAAGAAAGAAATATTTTCTTTCTAATTTCTTATTTAAAGAAATATTTTCTCAATAATAACTGTAAAATAAATTGCAGGAAAACAGTTTTAATGTAAGCAGGGGGGGGGAAGTTTGCTATTAGATTGTAATGCAAATTAATCATATTATAAATTTAAATGATTAAAATTTTTATTTCTAAAAGGATTTGAAGTAAGCTTAATTCATTTACTCTTATCTATTTACCATTGCTTTCATGGTATCCCGTAACACTCTCTATTTCTTAGCTCTAAATTCCTGCGCTAACTTTCCCTTTAAAAAACAGGATTTTCCTTCACATAACACAGCAGCATATTCTGCTGCGTGTTGGTCACAATACTGTTTTGTGCAATTTTTTTCGAATTACAAATGCATCGTGTGAGTTAGTGAAATAATGGGAGAATATTCCTAGAACTTCAGCCAGCGCACTATAAATTTCGTCACTCGTCTGTACTGCGATTGGTCTAAAGCTCCTTGAAGCCTTGTACCCTTTCAGTAAAGTTAAATGAACCCACCCGCCCACCAACTGAGGACCACAGAATGGCTCTCTCCGATAAGTTGCGATGGCTGTCTATACGGGTTTTTTTGAATCAATATTGTTCGCTTAAGTTGTAGACAATAATACACAGAATAATGGTTATTGAAGTCAAACAACAAGAATTAGCATGTAAATTTTGCTGATTCTTGTTTGACTTCTCCAATATTCTAACTTAATTAAACGATCACTCAAGGCAAGTTGAAAATGATATTAAAATCTGCAAATTTAGAAATTAAATATCTGGGTAAATTTTTGTCCTGCGGGAGTCAAATATTTTATATTTTCTGTGTTCATAATGAGTATACAACTTTCCCAAATATAAATGTAGGAACCAGGAGACTGCATTAAAAGATAGATTTTGTCCCAGTTTTTTTTTTTTTTTTTAAACATGACATTGCCAAAACATCGTCATTTAAAACACTTCTGTAATTATATGACTACAACCAACAGTTGCAAGAATAAAGATATAATTTTGGTGCTGCCAATTACAGTAAAAAAGGTAAGGTCCACATCTAGGTGCTATATCAGTCCCATATACAAAATTTCAACACTGCAACTAATTGTTTTTTTAGTTATGTGCAATGTGTATGTACAGATGGAAAAAAGAAAAGTCTATTTTGCTGTCTGTTTTGGAAGTAAGAGTCCTTTATTCTATTTGTACGTACAGACATCACACAAAAAAGTAGTCGAAATGGATTCGGGAATGGTCTGAATGGATATTTTCATTGAAATATGATAACCAAAATTTTTTTGTGATTACAGTGCATCTTTTACTTAATACAAGGATATAATAATATTTAAATGTTTACTATATAAATGCTGACAGAGTTTCTAAACTATTAAATGATTCTTTGTCAAAATTTTTATTTATTTTGTTATAAAACATCTGCATTATCCAGATCTGTGTGTAGCCTTCTTAAAAAAATGAAAAACGGTTTATATGAATTGTATGAAAATTTTGTTATGTATTTTTGATATACTAATAACTATATCAGTTTCATTTAGTATGTTTTGTCTTTTTACATATGCTTGTTATTTGTGTATGAGGTGCCTATACTAAACTGAAGTTTGCATTTGCTTCATATTGTAATGAATACCTTGCTATATACGATTACTGCCATGCTATACTTTGCTTTCAGAATTACAAAAAAAAAAAAAAAAAATTCAGAAGTTACTGTATTCCAATCAGAACTCATGTATTATCACAATCACCTTAGTAGAAGCCACCAGATTTTCCGAATGTGCAGAATTCTGGCAACTGCACATAGCGCTTCTTTGGGCAAATATATGCATAACAGTCTTTCAGTCAAGTAACATCCCTATTTTCATATGCATATTTTTTGTTGTATTCCTACTATTAACTGGAGGAAAATTGTGATATTTTTTGCTTAATGCTACTTTCGAAATTTTTGACCAATGGGAGGGGGGGAAGTAATAAAATTTCTGCAAGAATACAGTACTTTGCTGTTTAATTGCTAAAGGTAACGTTTATGATATAAATTTGGTAGATAAGTGGCATGCAACACTGACTTTGTGCAATTCTCTGATATTTTTTTAAGTGAAAATACATCATTGTGTACATTGAGAGAACAGTGCTAAAATATTAGAGAAGGATTTCGGAAAAAATGTCACTCATTTTTTAAATGTGTCTTGTAATCTTTATTAAAAACTTAAGATGATAGCTTTTAGTGTTTTCTTGATATATTGATAATGTTTGTGATAATGTAAGATAAATATCAGTAGTTTAGGAATGCTTTAAAAAAATCATAAAAATCACCAGCTTGCATTCAATAAGTAGTTTTTACGTTTTCAGCAGTAAAAAACTTCTAAACCATTGTTATTACTAAAACATAGTCTTATCATTAAATATCATTAAAATAAAAATACTTCCTTCACTCATCCCAGATACTGAACAATCCAGAAAAACTAAAGACAAAACTTGCTTACTTACCTGGGTAGTGTGATGTTGAATCTGAATAAAAACTCTAAGAAGTTGATTTATCTAATTATATTCTATCTACACTACAAAATATATACATTATTTAACAATTTTCGGGAAATTTTTCTGGCCCCTAAAGTTATTACACATCTTAATCAGTTCACGTCACGAGGTCGAAAGGGAAAAACCCTTTTTCTCTTCCTACTTCAATGACAGCCAACGCCATCTGTGTCTCGTACATCAAATGAAGAGATTTGTTTTTAATGTTTGTAAGATACAACTAATCAGTTTCACAACACTCC